TTATGGTCTAATACAAAGCAAATTTATCATATTGGATTTGTGCGAAAATGGTCACTTTGGTGGGCAATGACAACATGCATGTCCTTGCAGGTGGCATTCATTGGAATGTATTATTTTAACCTTTGACACTTACTCTGAGAACTGTCTCTCCAATAAATAACAAAGCGCAATTGTTATGCGCAGCGGAAAAGCATAAATTGAACTGCTCATAAATTAGTGAATTTAGTATGCAAATAAGTTGGTAATGCTATCATTAAACCTTATTAGCTTAATGTACAAGCAGTTGACATTCAGAGCAAACAAAAATTAGCATATTTCGAATTTTGGTAATTGTCTCGTTCAGTGCTTATTTTATCAATTCATATTCAATGTTAGATAAGCGCCTATTCACAAACATTATGGGGTGAAGTGCAAAAAGAAGAAACGACACTTAATGGCTTCGCAGAAGCAACATATACGGCTTGTGGTAAGCATTTTTAAATGCTTGCTTTTTCTTTGATTCAAAAAATCATTTGAAATAAGCCAAGAGGTAACTTTTGGATCGTTCCAACTTATCTTGGCCCATTTCCATTTGACGTGAGCCAAATAGTTCCAAACAGAATGAATGTGATGGACAGATTTGAGCAGTTATACTTTGGTATTGATTTTCCTTCCTTTTTTTTGCAGCTGCAATAGCAATAATGTTGATGAATATGATATCAATCGACTGGGACAAATGGGGCGAAGCGGCTTTGGTATTAATTTCAAGTATTGATTGCGCTGTATTGTTGTTCTTTAGCCAAGCTCAAACAATCTACGTGATGTATATTTGCTACATTAGCTATCGCACACTCTATCAAGTGATGATAACTATTGCGCAGTACGTTCTTCTAAAGGATAAGGCTAAATGCATTAAAATTGCTCTTTTTTCTTGTTCGATCGATAAAATCATTATTCAGCCAAGTATCTTTCGTTATCATGATTATATATCATAATCATTATCATGATTATATATCGTAATCATTATCATGATATTCATAACTAAGGGGATATATTCCTTATAGATATTGGGTAATTTGTAGGGGAAAAGCTTTCTTATTCGATCGATAAAATCATTATTCAGCCAAGTATCTTTCGTTATCATGATTATATATCATAAT